TCTTGCTTTCTTTTTGAATATATGGAGGACTTTAGAGATGCCGACTAGGTGTTCGATGCAATGTGGCAGTGATTTTTAGTGGTCTGGATATGTGGAGTCACTTTGGTCTGATCCTGTTGGATTCTGATGATTGAATTGTGTTATGAGATTGAATGGATGGTGTTGTGCCGAATAATGTTCCCTTTGTTCTGTTGGGATGCAAGTATCATTGGCTATCTCTATTTTCTAATAAAAGCTGATGTGAGTGTCGAATGAGATTTTGTGTGATTTCGAAGTGGGTCTCGTGGATTTTTTTTAGGCAAGGAAAGTGCATTCCAGTATTGTGATTGCAAGCATTTTCCCTATAGTAGTTCGATTTTTTGTGATTTTGAAGGGGTCTCTTGGATTTATTGTTGCTTGACTGCTTGACTTGTGTTAGTGAAAAAACACAGTGAAAACCTGGTAATTTATCAGCATTTTCGCCTTTTCTTTCGTTTTTCTAACCGAGCAGATTGATCATCATAGTTTGGTGGTGAAATACTTGAGGCTCGATTGTTTAGCTGGCTTATCCATTGAGTTTTGGAATAATCTTTACATATATAGGTTGATCTTTACATATGTAGGTTGAATGCTGAGTGCTTTACTTGTTTTAACTGATGTGTATTATTGCATTTTTTCGCTGCATATGAACTGAATATTGCTTTCCTTAGACTAATTAAGTCCACAAGACCTCTTGTTAGGTATGACCTTCTGCGTAAGCTGCTCTCTTGTGGCCTATTATGGGATTCCTCGGTGTTCCTCATCCATGTGTGAGTTACACAGAGATGATTTTTTTATTTTCCGTCATCCAAGTGTCCAACCTGATGACTTTCTATTTTGCTTTCGATATTCTTGTTGCAATTCCAAGTGATCTCTTTGCAGCTCGTCCATCTGTGTCTTCTCCTTCTCAAGTTCTATCCTGAGAGAGATTTGACCTCTCTGTTTGCGGTTGTCCAACTATTTTCTTGGTCGAGCTATCAAAAGTTTCTACCCGACCTTTTCCTTATATTGCAGCTCTTAGCTTCACTTGTTCCGAGAATAATACCTGCGGATATCATCTAGATTTTTTTTGGCAACCATAAACATTTAAACAATCAAGGGCTTATTAATGTATGCATTTTGGGTTTTGTGGGGGGTGTGAGTATGCTAGATTCTTATGGCTGAAGATATCCCAACTATTTTCAGCACATTTTTCGGGTGATAAATAATTTGCCGAAAAGCCTGAAATCATTCATGTAAAGAAGAAGTAACTGGATACTGGTTCTTAGTGGCAACCTGTCATTCTGTGCAGCATGTGAACATGCATCTTGTGAAAGCTTCTCGTAGTTCATGAGTGTTCATGCTCCGAAGCGATGGATGAGTCTATAAGGGCACCCGCATTGCATAATTCATTTCGGGCGTTTAAACGCCCTCCTGCCATTATCATGGATGTGGCGCATCCATTAAACAGGGGGGCCCAACTGTGCGTTCAGTATATTGAACGCCTTAATGCTGTTTTTTTTTTTAAAAAATTAATTATTTATTTAATCTTATATATATATATATATTTAATACATTTTTTTTTTATCTATATCACACTTCCTAATATGTATGAATAATTTATATTTTCTATCTCTATTTTTTGCCTATAAATACACCTCAGTTTTACACTTCTCTTGCACTAAAAAAATTAGCAACTGCCCATTTGCATAAAGAAAATGGATACGAATAATAAGCAAAAATTTTCAAAATTTTTCAAGTTCTAATATTAGGGAATCGACACTTTTAGAGAATTTAAAAAATTATATTCGTAGAAGTTCAGATCGAGAGATTTAAAATTATATTCGTAGAAATTCAGAGATACGAGATAACACAATGCATAATCAACTTCATGCTGATTTAGTTGACCATATTTGGACTCATTTTGCCACCAACAATTTTTTTTTTTTAGTTCTATTATTATTATTTTTTTTGTGTAATCTTAATGTAAATTATTTTGGTTTGTATGTTCTTTTATTTTCATGCATTTAGAATTTGTTAGTATAATTTTAAAATATTAAATTTTTATTTTTATTAAGAATATAATACTAAAATTTATATTGAATGAGTGGATAATGGGTCTCATATATATGTACTTAAATAAATAGATATGAATGCAAGTGTGTTTAAATGGAGAGATGCTTAATGTAATGTTGATGTGGATGTAAGTGAGTGTTAATTTTTTATTGAATGAATGAGAGGGTTGTGGATGCCCTAAATCAAATTTGATTATACGTTGGAAGTAAATGAGAGAAAAAAAAAAAAAAAAAACAACGAATAGCAGCAGATAAACCTTAAGATAGGTGTCGATGGCTCTGCAGTAGATATGGCCACGGGCCGGCCTGACCCGTAGGTTGCCGGTTCCGAGAACCGGCACCATGGCTTTACGGGTCGTTCCCGGGTCCTTTTTTTTTTGTCCCGGCTGTCCCGGACAGGGCGGATTCGACAGACCCGACCCTTGGTTTCTGGCGGGCCGGTCAAGGGCCACCCATGGAAGGACCGTCGGCCCGACGACAGGCCCATTGACTGGCCATGTCTACTCTGCAGAGGCCATCATCACTCGTTCTGGCAATGACTGCCAAAAACTGAAACTTGGTGACTGGGAGCTGTGGGTCACTCGTAATCTTCGCCAAATAGTTGTCTAGAAGTTTACGGATGCCCAACGGCACAAGTTGAGGCTGCTGTTCATACAACAAGAACTACTCCAAAATCCTCTGCACCATATCTACATCGTGTATATTTTGTTCCTCGGTCGAGCTGGAACAAGACATGCAAATACTCGGGGATGAGGGTTTAAACCGAGCGACGACCAAAAAAGTCAAAGTCAAATGACTTACTTGTCACGACCCTCGTGAAGTGGTCGATTATGAGATAAACAAGACAAAAAAAAAAATAAAAAATAAAAAATAAAAAATCATGTAGTGTAGAAATAATCATACTTACATAGTAGTTAATGTCAGACTTTATAATTGCAGTACATATGAATTTGAGACACCAAAAGGTAATTTTACACAAGTTGAAGCAAGAAAAACTAACACTTAAATCTTATGAATGTATCTCGTATTACCAGTTTGTACCCTCCTGTGACAAACACAACAAATTTTACTGTGTATTTGTAATTTTTGGTGTTGTATTTTGTTACTATTATGATAGACGTGGCCAAATCAAGGGCGCGCCTCAGCCCGCCGGGTCGGCCCTTAAAAAAATAAATCAAACGCGGCCCGTCTTACAACCCGCGGCCCGGCCCAAACTGCCGGAACGAAAAAAAACTAAGAACCAGAACCGGCCTGCATGGACAAGGTTGTTCAACGAACCGGCAAAATCCGGGCCAGGTAAGCCCGTGGCCATGTCTATTAACCTAGAAATAAGTGCCATTATCTCCATGTATCATCAGCACACAACACATATTTGATACAACTAAATAGATTACCAGGGCCACAACAACACACAACAGCCTAAATAACTTCTTAAAAAGCATCCATTTTGCTAAATCATCATCAGTTAAGAATCAGCATATTACTACTCTTCACCCAATCGATGTTTTTACACATAACATTAACAATGTCCTAAAAATCCCGACCGTTTGGTAAAAAAATGTACCGGTACAATCAACGCGTGCTCATACTCTCTTCCATCATTCCTCGTTCTCAATTTAAAAAAAAAAATTAAAACGACAAACAAAAATATATATCGAGAGAAGAATACAGAATACTCGTACACACGCTATTGCTGCCAGCCAAACTGTTGATTTCTGCTTCCGCCAGCCGGATTCTGACCTCTCCCGCCGGAAACTCCATACTGACCGCCGCCCTGCGAATAACTCGCCGGAGGGGGTGGAGGTCCCGACCCGTAAGCCCCACGGGGCCCGCTGTTTACTGGGTAAGGCGGAGCGACCCGCCCCTGAGACGGGTAGGGCCCTCCGCCGGGTGGGTACCTGTTGTTGGGCCCTCCTCCTGGCGGGCCGCGGGGCTTCCCATATTGGTGGTGGCCCGCGATTGGCTGCTGGGGATTGGAGTTGTTCCAATGGTGGGCTTGGGTTTGGGTTTGGGCTGAGTGTTGGATGGGAGGCAAACGAGCGTGTTGCTGTGGGTGTTGGAGTTTCTGCCTCTTTGCGATTTCTTCGTTCTGCCGCTGCTGCTGACGTTTTTTCTTAGTTTGGAACTCGTGGGACGACTCGTATTTCGGCAAACTGTGAAAAAAAAAAGGAGTTATATTTTATTTAGATCTCGTTTGATCCATGAGGAATTTTTTGTGTTTTTTTGTGTAAATGTACCTTCTCGGGTCGCAAGGTAATGGGTCTGTCCAGAAATACTCGGCGTCTAGAGCATCCTTAGCTGATATCCTCTGCAAAAGAAAAGAGAATTTGTTACTAAAATTCAATATGTTAAAAATGGAAATAATTCGGATTTATTGAGTTTTTTTGTTTAATTTTTGCACTTTATTATCAGCTGTTAAAGACCATTGTCCAGAAAATGAGGCAAACATCTACAAGATGAATCAAAAGATGTGTCGATAGAAAATTCACTCACAAAATTGCTGACTCAAACACAAGCCAATAGTGTGTTTATAGTTTAGCCAAGAAAAGAACCAGATAACGAACAAAATAAAACGATGTTGCTTACTAAACAAGTAAAAAGCTTACTGAAAGGAGATATACCTGAGCTGGATCAAGAACAAGCATTTTCTCCAACAAATCCAAAGCGTGCCGGTCAAAACTGCATAGGAATTAGGAAGTTTTCAATCAGACCACATAATATATTCATGCATATAGCAGTAGCCAATGTTACAGAATTTTTTTTTTTTTTTTTTTTTTTTTTTTTTTTTTTTTTTGAAAAAGGCCAGCTTCATTTATGCTTAACTGTCTAAAAAGCTCTCGGATTCGCCTTTTCATTTGACGTGCGGGCTTAAATTTGTTATACCAAGGGATTTTGGTAACGCCAGGCCACGTCACCTCATCAGGTGATCCACAAAGCTCAAATATTTTGTTTAACTGTTCGGGCTGCAGTCACAAAATACAAGATCAAAGTTCTTAAATAGTGATAAAATTTACACAACCAATTCTAAATAACATGGGAAGAACTATCCAAAAGATTGAAAAAAACTAGGTCAATTGTGTCAATCGAAGTACACAGCAATATGCATGAGATTTATCCTCATATGCCAAAGATAACAAGCAATTCTAAATATGACAGTTCTTCCATGTGATAAAGAACTAAGTAGTTACTGAAAGTCAACTATTTTCTTAATCTCAGAACATGGAATCAACTCAGATGTAAGATCAACTCCCTCAAATAAGACTCTAATGCAGCACTTTGGTACATACATTTCTGTTTCAGTGATTTATACCCATACGATTTGTAAGCATTCACTTCCTCGATGTTGCTTTCAATTCAGCATATTCATAGAAACATATATATAAGCTATAGCTAACAGAAAGTAACTCTTTAGATGAACGTCTAAAGATGCATAAGAAATCTAATTTAGGTAAAGAGGAAAAGAATGGTAGATATAGCTTCATTTAATGAAATCTTTAAGAATAAAGAAAATAATTTAGATGATTCAGCAAAATGTTTAAACTATTTTAACAATGATTCACGGGTAGAAGAAGAGATGTCATTTTTGGTGAGGGAGAAAAATAACTGTCCCCCACTACTACGTGTTTGTTTGCTAGCAATAGCATAATTAAGGAATTTAATTTAACGTATACAATATAGTATAATGTGACACCATATAACATAATTTCTGGTTCAACACTTACGTTTATGGTTCAGTTTGTTCATTCAAGAAAGCAAACAGCACACCTGAAGAGTGAAGTAAACACGAGGCACTACCTACTTAGATCAGAATATCTCAAATATAACCTAACCTCATTTTTTCCTGGTAAGATTGGTTTTCCATACAAGAGCTCAGCAAAGATGCAACCCACGGACCACATGTCGACAGCTGGACCATATTTTGTGGTACCAAGAAGCAACTCCGGAGGTCTTTACAGTCGACAACATAAAATAGAGGCAGACACTAAGTCAGTGGCACAACTAGAAATATATCCGCTCAAAATGAGTTTTTTTTTTTTTTTTTAACCACAGTTAATTTGAAAAAATGTGGTACGGTTAGTTGTTAGCTAGATTTCGATTTTATATTAAAAATAATATTTAACATAACATAATTAAAGATGATTTAATGTAAAAGTAGGCGATAGATGATGTGAATTGATGGTTAGTTAAAATTATGTGAGTGGATGAACAGTGAATTAAAAGTTGATGTGACGTGTAAGAGTGAAGGATTGGTATTATTTTATTATATTGATAATATTGAGGATAGTGAAGTTAAAGTTGAGCACTTGAGCTAGACTTTGAGTATGAATTGAGTATAGATTGAGTTTATTTGTATCCAAACACACCCTTTACGATCAAGATATTAATGCTATATCAATAATAGATTTACCTATACCACAAGGTAATAACACGATTCGTAAGATTTGCATTGACGTCATTTGAAAAGGAACGTGCGAGTCCAAAATCAGCAAGTTTCAGATTCCCCTCATTGTCAATAAGAAGATTGGAACCTGCCAAGAGTTTTCATGTAAATTTTGTACGCTACACAATGTTCTACA